TGAATGTGAAGCTGATGATGTGCCCTGTAAACTTTCACTCAAGGCAAAATAAAAACATTTAATTAAAAAAAAAAATTCAAACATAAGACCCCTCTTGATTGACTACCCCCCAAAACAAAAAATAAAAAACACCTAAACCTTCTGCCATCAGGTCAGTTCTGGCTCATGGTGACCCCATGTGTTAATTGCCCCTGCAGTGGTGTGGTACTGTAGGAGACTGTAGAATTGATACCTTTGAGTTATGGTGTTGGAGGAGAATATTGAAAGTGCCATGGGCTGCCAAAAGAACCAATAGATCCATTTTGGAAGAGTGTTCCTTAGAGGCCAAGATGGCCAAACTTCGTCTCTCATACTTTGGACATATTGTCAGGATGGACCAGTCGCTGGAGAAGGATATCATGTTTGGTAAGGTGGAGGGTCAGAGAAAAGAGGAAGACCCCCCCCCCAACGAGATGGATTGGCCAAGTGGCAGCATCGATGGACTCAAGTGTGGCAACAGTAGTGAGGTTGGCCTAGGATCGGACAGTGCATAAGGTCGCTATGGGTCAGTACTGACTCAATGGCACCTAACAACATTAACCACAAAGTCAATGTTTCAAACTCACCAGCTGCTTCTTGGTCACCCTATATAGGGTTGCTATGAGTTGGAACCGACTTAACGACAAGTCTTTACAGAAACTCCCAAATGAAGCTGTGGGTTTACATGTTGGGTTGATAACCACAAGGAAATTGTTTCAAGAAAGATGAGAATGTGTGCTCCCGTAAAGATTTACAGTCTCGTCGGAAACCCTATGTAGGGTCATGCTGTGAATTGGAATTGACTTGATAGCAGTGTTTTTATTTGTTTGTTTATTCTTGATTGATGCAGATTACCAAGTTTTTCCTCCTGAAAACAGTAAGTTGGTTTGAACTGCCAGTTTTTAGAGGAATGTTAGCTACTTTGAGTTGATTTTGATTCAGCGTGATTTGGTGTGACAGAGTATAGCTGCTTCATGGCATTTCTAGACTGTAATCTTTTTAGTATGAGCCCACCAGCCACTATTCAGGAGAAAGATGAGGCTTTCTGCTCCCACGAGGATTTAAAGGGTTGCTATGAGTTGGAACTGACCACAACAGTCTTTATAGAAGCAGATTTCCTATGGAGCTGTTGGTTAGGGTCAAACCACCAATCTTTCACTTAGCAGCCAAGTGCTTAATCGTTGCACCAACAGGACGTCTTTTTTAGCTAGTATGTCGGGGCAAACCATTTGTATCGCCCAGGGACAACTTGATGAATTATTATTTGGGTTAAATTTTACAACAAAATATCTGATTTATTACTCCTGTTTTTGTCTATATTTGAGTTTTGCTCAAGTCTAGGGTCTGTATGGCCTGGTGTGGCACTGTAGGCTAAGCACTGAACTGCCAACCCTAAGGTCAGCTGTTCAAACCCACCAACGGCTCCTTAGACACCCTAATACAGGATCACTATGAATTGGAACTGACTTGATGTATTTAACAACAATAGGGTCTGTGTTGGTTAATTTCTCTCTGTGACTGCGTTTATTCATGTCCAGTTTTCCTGGGTCACATTTCATCAATTCAAGTTTCATTAACTCAAACCAAATCCACGGCCACTGTGTTGGTTCCAACTCATAGCAATCCTAAGCTCAAATCTTTTGTCAACATTTCAGTACTTGAGCCTTTGTAACCTTGACTAAGTACAGTCTCGCTTTAAAAAAACAAAACAAAACTTTTGTTTTCCGTTTTCTTTGGATCCCATTAACTAGTAATCATATTTTATAAATTAATTGAAGGAAGTGTTGCTTTGGTATATGTCTTCGCTAATTCGTTATAAACAAACGCTAAGGAATTCCCCTCCAATCTTTTCCGTTGCCAGGGCTGGGATGTATAATGTTAGGTCATGTCTTCCACTGAATCATACTGTTTCATGCCTAGACAAAGAGCAAAGGGCCGTTCAGAATGTCCTTGGAGACAAATTGTATTGTTTTGGGGTCTTCTATCCTTCTCGAATACTTTTCCCTCCTTTATAGTTGTTGTTGAGTGCCATCGAGTTGGTTCCGACTCATAGGGACCCTGTATAGGGTTTCCAAGGAGCAGTTGGTAGTTTGAACTGCCGACCTTGCTGTCCCGTGTTTATCCTACAGTGCCACACCAGGACTCCTGGCGAACTCCTAGACTTTTCTCGATCCTTGAGCCGTACTGCCCTTGCCTTTAGAAGCCTGGCTTTATTCTCCCCAGACCCAGGGCCCCTCTCTCCAGGTACTGCCCATCACCCTGAGATCTTTCACAATGCATGCTGACCCTGGATTATAGCTCCGCTTTCCTAACACATGATTAGAAACGTCTCAAATCTCATCCGTCTCATTTTACAACAACTTAAAATATCTTTTAAATATAGTCTGTTCCTGAAGAAATACAAAACATGTCCTTGTTGAACAAAATTAAACAAATGAAGGACACAGGACAGAAACCAAAGATTTTCTTCAGTTGTTTTAAGTGTCCTCTCTTTACCTCTGTGGGTAGTTGCAATATTTCTTGCTTGTTCTTTGTCCAAACATGTACACAATATGCCCTGACATTCTTTCATGTCAGTATTTACAAGTCTACCGTAGTATTATTGAAATGCTGCATCAGATTCCAGTTGAGGTTTTAAGCAAAATTGACTAATGATTAAATGAGACAGTTGTCTGCTTGCCAGGATTTAATGAATGAATTCATTCTTTTTTGTAAGGCCATGAGACAAAATTTCTGAACTTGCAAAAATACATTGATCCAAGAGTTTCTCAACAAAATTGCTTTCAACTTTGACTCAAGATGATGCTAAGTTATAATCAGATATTTGTGTTCTGGGTTCAGTCCTTTGATGATGAGACTTCTTCCTCTTTTTTAAGTCTGAGCAGTTAGGCGGCTTTCCCTTTGAGGAGAGCAGACAAAGGGTTTTGTGAACACATGTTGTTGTTAAGTGCCCTGGAGTCGGTTTTCATTTATAGAGGTTTATGAGGAGCTTCTGGTGAGTTTGAACCACCAACCTTGTGGTTCAAACCTACCTTGTAGTCCAGTGCTTTATCCCACAGTGCCATGCTAGGACTCAGTGTGAACACATACTGGTGACTAAGTCTAAGGGACAAAGGAACTCATACATCTTTTTACAACCTTGTAGCGGTGATTTCCCCAAGGTTTCTTCAGTTGATTCATTAAGAGGCTTGCTTCCTGCTATCTTAGAAATGTTACAAAGTAATTCTACCTGAGCAATGTACAGAGAGTCCCAGACTCAGGACACATTTCTGTTGAACGTTTGTATTTGGCTTAAATCAATTGCATATAACTGCAGAAGCAGGAAATTGATGATGTTAAAGCTCTAAATTTATAAGTAATGTTTCCAATCGCCAAAGATAAATGAAGATTGGATTTATAAAGATAATGGTAACAAAAGGCAATAATGATAACTTAAAAGAAAAGTTATTCAATTTAAGTCAGAACTGTCTTACAACAAAGTCCTCCTAATGGAACTTGGTTGTAAGTCGAGGACTGCTTGCATTCAAACAGAAAGAACGAAAGCTATGAACCTTTGCAAGACATTACTGGTGTGGTACTGTAGGATAAGCACTGGACTGTTAATTGCAAGATTGGCAGTTCAAACCCACCAGTTGATCCTCTGAAACCCTATACAGGGTCATTATGAGTCAGAACTGACTTGATGGCATTTAATAACAGCAATACTTCCACTTATTCCTTATTGTATTTTGTATAGATTTTTTTGGGAGATAAAAGGGTTAAGACCATGTGTTATGTTTTAGGAATGCAGTGATAGTTTAGGCATTTTATCAAATCTGTGGTTTTCCAGATGAAGGGTAGCATGGGAAAAATGCAAAGATCTCAGCTTGCAAAGGAGAACTTTTCAATGATCTCCGAATGGAATGGATAAATCAGACTGTGTTTTGTCAATCCCCTGTAGATGGGCGGTGCAGGTGGTTTCAGTTAGTGAAAAGCTGGTACTTGACACCTATCAATGCCACAGAAGAAAGACGTGGCAATTTGCTTCTGTAAAGATGACAGCCAAGAAAACCCTTAGGGAGCAGTTCTACTGTTACACGTGGGGGGTCACCATGGGTTAGGATCCCACCTTGGGTTAGGATCCCACCTTGGGTTAGGATCCCACCTTGGGTTAGAATCCCAGGTGTGACTTCCTTTTTAGTTTTCTGGATGGACGTTTAAGTTCACGGTAATGCTTTAATTATTAAATTGTTTATCTTTTGCATATTGGTTTTCGGGGATTCTACATACTTTGCCTGTTGTCGTTGAGTGCAGTAGCGTCCATTTTGACTCATAGGGACCCTGTATAGGGTTTCCTAGTAGCGGCTGGTGGGTTTGAACTGCCTACCTTGAGGTTCAAACGATCTTTTGACCCTGTGCTTATCCTACAGCGCCACACCAGGGTATTTTGGCAGTGTTTCCAACTTGATCCTTGGACTTCCCCTTTTTTTTGCTAAGGCCACCATTCATTGAGCCAGTATCTAAAGGGTCCCAGCTGGGCACTGAGTGAACCTAATTAAACTTAAATCAGGATCAGAGCATCCAGAGATCTTCCCGGCTGTTGGGATGGCGCCCATTTTCCTTTGCATCCTGTGACCCTTGAGTGATGCCTCCTTCATTTTCCTTTGCATCCTGTGACCCTTGAGTGATGCCTCCTTCGTCTTCCACACCCCAGGCTCACATCAGGTCTGTATGACGTTGGCCGCACTGTCCTCTGCCTCGACTTCATGATTTTCACGCTGCGACTGCTGCACATTTTCACAGTCAACAAACAACTAGGACCCAAGATTGTCATAGTGAACAAGATGGTAAGGGGCGGGGCTACAGGAGCACGGATAGGTGTCAGTCAGGCAATGGGGGCGGGGACAGAGGAGGAAACGGGTGGAGGTAAGGGTTGTGGACACAGGTGAATGGACGTCACTCAGCGGTTGAAGGCAGGTCCAGGGGAGGGAGGGTGTGAGTTCTGCAAGGTAGGAACCGGGGTATAGGAGGCAGGGGCTGAGCCAGAGGGAAGAATGGGGCTCAGCTCCACTACGTTCTCCTCTCCTGGCAGATGAAGGATGTGTTCTTCTTCCTCTTCTTCCTCGGTGTGTGGCTGGTTGCCTATGGGGTGGCCACGGAAGGGCTTCTAAGACCCCAGGACCGTAACCTACCAAATATCCTGCGTCGCGTCTTCTACCGGCCCTACCTGCAGATTTTTGGGCAGATCCCACAGGAAGAGATGGACGGTAAAGCGAGATATAAGGACCAGACATCCTCCTTCAGAGTCTCTGTTTCCCCTCCCCGGGTCTCTGACGCTCCCTCATGGGACCCACATCACTTTGGGTCTCTGCTCCTGTCTCCCCAGCTCCCTGGATTTCTGTCTTCATGTCCCTCATATCTGCATGTCTCGTTTCACAGTGACACTCATGAAGCATGTGAACTGCTCGTGGGAGCAAGGTTTCTGGGCACGCCCACCGGACACGCCCACGGGCTCCTGTGTCTCCGTGTATGCCAACTGGCTGGTCCTAGTGCTGCTCATCGTCTTCCTGCTGGTGGCCAATATCCTGCTGCTCAATCTGCTCATTGCAATGTTCAGGTGAGGCTTGACTGTCTTCTGATCTGTACGACTTTTGACCTAGCATGACCCTTGACCCTAGTGCTTCAAAAAGTTTGTGGGAAAATTTAAAAGAGAATGTAATTTTTCCATAAACTTTTTGAAGCCCCCACATAATTTCAACCCCTGAATTTCTGATGAAAATCCAACGTTGGCTTGTCACCCCAACACCAGTCAGACCCATTCCTGAGTTGGACTTTGAACTTTGATGTGTTCTCCCTGAGCCCAGACTGACCCATGAGTCTGACTCCGATCTGTACCCAAATCCATGAGACCATACTGAAATTGACCTCTGACATCTAACCCGTGACCCTCCAAACCTTATTTCAAACTCCGTCCTATATTGACCTCTGACCTTATCGATCTCGACCCCTGCTTCTTCCTTGGACTTGGAACAGATAGTGCTCCACATCTAACCTTGAGCCTCTGCCCCTGAACTCCCTGAACCCTTGACTTATGGCTTCCGCAGCTACACGTTTGGCAAAGTACAGGGCAACAGCGACCTCTATTGGAAGGCCCAGCGTTACAGCCTCATCCGAGAATTCCACTCGCGGCCTGCGCTGGCCCCGCCCTTCATCGTCATCTCGCACGTGCGCCTCATCTTCCGGCGATTGCGCAGGCACCGGGCTAGTTGGCCTGACTCTCCGCACTTAGAGCATTTCCGTGAGGGCGGGGCTTAGCCCCAACGGGCAAAATTTGAGGGCAGGGTCTGGAGAGAAAGAAGGGCACTGAAGAGGGGTTTGGTTGATCTGAAGTATTTACGGGACTCAGATGGGCGGGATTTACACCTTTAGGGGGTGTGCCCAGAAACATTAGGGCGTGGCCTGTTGGGGGCAGGCCTTCTGATCTATCTGTCTGGGACTCTACCTTCAGGTGTCTACCTCTCGAAAGAAGCTGAGCGGAGGCTGTTGACTTGGGAGTCGGTGCAGAAAGAGAATTTTCTGTTGGCGCGCATGAGGGACAAGCGGGAGAGCGACTCTGAGCGACTGAAGCGCATGTCCCAGAAGTGAGGGCAGGGTCTGGGCAGTGGTGGGCCTTGCAGAAAGCATGGGCAAGAGGCGGAGCCTGAGGGCTCCAGAGATGAATGCAGAGCTCCAGGGGGCGGAGCTTCCAAGGTGGGAGGGGTTGGTGGGCTGAGGGCACAGGCCTGACCTCTCTCCTAAGGGTAGACACTGCGTTGAAGCAGCTGGGACAGATCCGCCAGTGCGAACAGCGTCTGAAAGGGCTGGAGTGCCAGGTGAGGACCCAGGATCAGGTGGGGGTTGTGTGGCAGTGGTGCTGGACGGTGGGGTCCCTGTGTCCAGCCCAGCGCCCCATCTGCTCCCCAGGTCCAACACTGCAGTCGTGTCCTGGATTGGATGGCTGAGACCTTGAGCCGTTCTCCATTGCTGCCCCCAGGAGGGCCACCACCCCCAGTGCCCGTTGGACCCAAAGGTCAGTGCGTGGAGTCCTCCTGGGAGTCTCCAAACTCCATTACTATGTGTGTCAGAGTCCTGCCTTCTAGATCTCTGTAGTTCAGGGTGTTCGTCTCTCTGTTCTCTGATCTTCGTTCAGTCTGTCAGCTTTTTCCTTTTCTCTTCCCCAGTTTCCCACTTTTTCTGTGTGTCTCTGCCCCATCACCTGCTCTGTCTCCTGTCTCCCCACAGACTGAGTCTTGCTGGCTGACTTCAAGTAGACCCACAAGACAGTATGGGTTCCAGAATAACAGTCCACTTGGATCTTGGCCCCTGCATCTGGCCTTGTCCTTGAGGTGGGTCCAAAGCCCATGGACCATCCCCTGGGCTGCTCTCAGGACCACGGAGAGAGGAGAGTCATCTATGTGGATCAAAGTAGTCCCAGCTCTTCCTAGAGCCAGCCCCACTCTGGGAGGATCGGCCTCTAGAGCCTGGTTGCTGCCCCCTTGAGGACCCTGATGTAACTGACTGGGCTGGGGGAGCCTGGCGAGTCCTTGGGGTATAGGGACCACGAACTCTACTTATAGCTCTCCACACTGGGGAAATAAAGCCATTTGAAATGAGTAGGGTCTGGATGCTTCATTTTGTGTGTGTGTGTGGGGGGGGACAGGACGATGGGGGGTGTCTAAGGATCCCTGGTGGCATGGTGGGTTAAACATTAGGCTGCTAACTGCAAAAGTCAGCGGTTCAAACCCACCATCTACTCTGTGGGAGAAAGACGAAGCTGTTCATTCCCATAAAAATTGTTAAGTGCCATCCAGTCGGTTCCAACTCATAGCAACCCTGTATAGGGTTTTCAAGGAGTGGTTGGTGAATTTGAACTTGAGGTTCAAACCGACCTTTTGGTCCAGAGCTTATCTTTCTTTCTTTTAATTTAAGGTTTTTATTGTGGATTGAGTGAAAATTTACAGGGC